CCTGTTCTGTTCATTCCCTCTGGGGCACCTGGCACTGGCCACTGTCAGAAGACAGGATACTGGGCTAGATGGACCTTTGGTCTGACCCAGTTTGGCCGTTCTTATATTCTTCTGTCCCGCGAGCCCCAGCTCGGGGAATCAGGAGTCGAATCTCGGGGCAGGTGGGCTCCCCACGCTGCGGCAGAGCCAGATCTCTAGGGGCTCTTGTTGTCTGCTCGGCTCCCTGCTCGAGCCAGGGCTCTTGGCGCTTCCAGTGTCCCTGCCATGGAGCTGGAAGCCTGGAAGTTCCAGGACCAGCTCCCCAGGGTGCAGCTCTGGGGTAGCTCCGCCATGCAGACTGACCCGGGCTGGAGATCCCAGGGCCTCTAGAGTCCTGGGCCAGTGACTCCCCAGGCTGCTCTACTTGTAACTGGCCTCTGGGACTCTAGAAGTCCTCGGGTCCCAGGCCCGGGTGCAGTCCTGATCCGTCTTGGTTTGGAATGAAGCCAATTCTAAAACAATGAAACTTCTCACAAACTGAATCCGCCAGCTCTAGTGTACAGGGCCTAGCGCAGTGGGTCCCACAAGTTGGTTGAGGCCTCTAAGTACCATTGCAAAGCAAACACTCAATAACAACCTATTACTGAGCATACAACTTCATCCTGACTCTGCTCAACCCTTTGTGGGTTTGGGTTGGGCTCCTCGGGGGCTAAACTAGAGGGATGCCCACGTTTTGTTACTACTGTAGGTCAAGCACATTGCATGCACCTGGGACTCTTGCATCCCTCTGTCCCCCACAAGGTCCCTGGGTGCATCCCTCCCATCCCCCTCTATTTCAGGGACTCCCTAGCCCCCACCCTCGTGCCAGGAGCTCTGTCTCCCCCATTTCTTTCCCCCACCCCCTCATGCTACAGTCCCCAATTCTGCCCCAAGCCAGGAGCTTTCTGTGCCCTAATCCTCTCCCTTTCCACCATTCCAGGGTCCCCCATTCTCCCTGCATGCTCAGAGCTTTGGCTGTACCCTCATTCCAGCATTGTCCCCAGACCAGGTCCTCGATCTTCCCTGTGTCTGGGGCTCTGTGAGCCTTCCCCTCCTCCCTTCCCCACTGTTATTATTTCTCCTCATTCTGCCCGGGACATAAATCATCCAGTGTCAGCATGTTACACTCTACTGGGGGAAGGAGCAGAGATGAGATGGGAATGTTTTTCTACTGGAAAGTGTTAATTGGTGCCACAAACTGGTTCTTTGATTTAGACAGTTACAGAGGTGGCTTTGCTCCAAGGTGTTACTCTGCTAAACAGAGAGCAGGCAAAAAGAACAGGAGTACTTGTGGCACCTTAGAGACTATCAAGTTTATTAGAGTATAAGCACTCCATGTGTCCCCCACTTTTCCCCTTTTGGGTTTTCTGATTTCCCCAATATCAACAGAGTTCTGCCCAGTGATGCCTCCAATACTCCCTGAAATGTTGGAATTGATGGGCTGTGGGGTTCCAAATTATTGTGTCACAGACCAAGAGAAATGTCATCACGTTGAGTGCACTGTAGCTGTGTCAGTCCCAGGATATTAGAGAGACAAGGCGCGTGAGGGAATAGCTATTATTGGACCAACTTCTGTTGGTGGGAGACGAGCTTTCGCGTTCCATAGAGCTCTTCCTCAGGTCTGGGAGACGTACTCCCAGCACCACATCAAAATGTAACGCTTAAACTCACGCTAGATTTCCACCCCAACATCAACAACCACCACCCAGCCAGCCATTGAACTCTCTGGAGAACACTAGCATCAACTTCCTGGACACCACCATGAGCTTCAACAACGGAACCCTACAGCCAACCCTAGAAAAGAAACCCACAGAGCACCACACCTCCCTTCATAAACCCAGTAACCACCCCAAATAACCAAGAAATCTGTAATCTACAGCCCGGCATTCAGATAGCAAAGAATACGCTCCTAGGAGAAAGCCTGGGATGCACTCAAAGCCACCTACACTAAACAAGGACATTGTACTAGAGAAGTAGATTGCATTATGGAATTGACTGTCCAAATACCCTGAGAGAACATGCTTGAATACAGAAATAAAACCTCCTCTGACTGCACACCAGTTGCTACCCACCACACTACGCTGGAACCCATACGGGGTATCGTCAAACAACTATAACCCATACTTGATGGGGACCACATCCTGAAAGAAATCTTTCCTGAACCCCCACTTCTGACCTTCAAACAACCCGCCAGCCTCTCCAAGGGCATCATCAGAAGCAAGCTCCCCACAGATCAGGACACCTCAACTCAAAGCAGCACCAGATCCTGCCAGAACAGATGCAAAATCTGCAGACATAACTCCACTGCTACAATGATCAACACTCCCCACAACTCACCTTTCAAGATCCACGGATCCTACACAAGCCTATCACAACATTTGGGATACCTAATCCAGCGCACTAAATGCCCCAATAACAACGATGTGGGTGAAACCAGACAATCCCTGTGCTCTTGAATGAACTCACAGAGGAAAATGATACAAGACAAAACCACCCTGTCTCCTGTGGGGAACACATATCACAGGTCAGATACAGAGTGGTCCTCCTCCACGAAGGAAGCCTCCACAACGCTTTCAAAAGATGAGCCTGGGAGCTTAAATTCATAATTCTGCTAGACAGTAAAAATCATGGACTGAACAGAGACACTGGATTTATGGCTCTATACAACAATCTGTAACCCACTAACCCCCCTTCTTTTTGTCCTATGACTGCAGAAGTGTTAACAGGCCACCCTGCCTTGAATGGTCCCTTGAAATAGGTGTTAACTACTTATGCTAAACCAGCCGTTCTACCTTGTATTTACCTGTGACACTCTGAGTAAGGGCACATCTCTACTGAAAACACTGCATCAGCCCAGCTGCACCACTGTCTACACAGGAGATTCGGTCGGTGTAACTAACTACGTCGTTATGCCGACATAGGTCTGTAGTGTAGACCTGACCTAAGTTTCCAAGAGCTGAAGAAGAGCTCTGTGTAAGCTTGAAAGCTTGTCTCTCTCACTGACAGAAGTTGGTCCAATAGAAGATATTCCCTCACCAACCTTGTCTCTCAAATGGTGTGTAAGGGCTCACAGGTTTAGCCAATTGGAAACCTCCCCTCACACCCCATCTCAAAACAGTTTTTGAATATCTGGGGCTGGACCCTGCATTCCTTGTGCAAACAAACCCCCCACAGAAATTAGTGGAATGCAGGATCAGGACCATTGTATGTACCACAGAATGTCCCCCAGTTTTCCCCACAGCTCTGCCCTTTACACTTCGTGCTGCTCCATCTCCCCCAGCACCACCTGCCCCAGCTCTCTGGAACCAGGCCAGTGTCCTGAGCTCCCCGGAAGGGTTTTGTAGAACAGAGAAGGAAATGCTGGTACTTACCATCGATGGTCACTTGGGTTCCATTCCCACGAGATGTCCCATCTTTGCTCCCAACCCAACATACGTAGGTTCCAGAATCAGTAATGTCAGCTTTCCTCACAGTGAGGGAAAGAGACCTCTTTTCTTTAACTTCTGATAATCTGATTCGATCTGTTCCATTGGATAACTTTTCTGTTACATTGTTTCTGGTTTTATACCATGCAGCAAACCACTTGGTTGAATTATTGCTTGTGTTGAATGTACACTCGATGGTGAACTCTGACCCTTCCATTGCACGGATAGAAGGGGGTGTCTGATTCACCACAAAGACAGCAGCAGTATTTTCTGCGGCTCCTGAAACACAAAGTTCAGTGTCACTATTTGAAATTATTGCAACAGGAGGAAGAATTAAATCAAAGAAAATTGTTTGCAAATGATCCACTGCAGAATGTTTCCATTTCTCTAGCAGGAAGCCAAGTGCCCGAGCAGGAACTCTCTGCTGAAGGTCACGGTATGAAGTTCAGAGCGGTGAGTGGGGAGGGCTCAGCTGGGCAGTTTGCACAGGCCCCACTGGCACTGTTAGCCGGCCTGTCCCACTGGCTCCGGCCTGTCCCACTGGCTCCCGCCTGCCGTACGGGCTCCAGGGGGGCTCTCCCTAAGTGTCAGCGAGAGAGGACTGGGTGGCTCCCA